TGGCTAAAGCTCACATGTTGTTCATGCAAAACTTGAGGAGCTCTTCACTCCAGTCAGAAACCAAGGTAGCAAAGATCCCACTGATGAAGTAAATAAGGAAAATGATGCACTCAAATCATTTGTGGACATCCTGAAGAGTTAAAAAAATGCTTTCTTCCCCACCCACTTTTTAGCCACCTTTAAGTAGCTATAGAGACAATTGACAGCATCCAGCATTATTTTGCTTAAAACTGCCTTTTTTAACTCCATCCTCAAGTTACTTGTGCTTGACTGAACCCTAGTCCAAGCTAAGTTAAGAATAGGCTGTAGACATTCACAACATTCGCTCGAGGGTTATCTTAGGTCTGAGCAGCAGGTTCTTTAAGTAATTCTTGGTTTTTTGTCCCTTCTTACCAGATTTGTGAAAGAAAAGAGGCCGACTATTTCTCCCAACTTCAATTTCCTGGGCCAGCTTTTGGACTTTGAGAAAAAGATAAAAAACCAGACCGGTCAGCCTGGACATATTAGTAAGTTGAAACTTCTGCATTTGGAAAAAAGCAGCGAGCACGTGCAGGTCCCGGAAGGAGGGCAGAGCAGCCTCTCCATGAAGCAGCTCTGCATCACTGCTACCTCCGAGATTGTGGAACAGAAACTCACGGACTGTGGCAGTGCCCCACGCGGGCACCTGTCCCCTCTGGAAGATGGCCCACTGGTGCAGGGCATAAATGGACTGCACGTCTCCCTGGATAAGGTGGAAGACAGCAACCGGCTGAAGCGCTCTTTTTCTTTGGACATCAAATCTGTGTCCTACTCATCAAGCAGCAACTGTGTGACTGCGTCGGTTCAGGGCTTTGCCTCCTCTGAAGACACCCTGGAATACTACAAACATGCAACTGCTTTAGAGGGTAGCAGCAAGTTGTGTCAGTTCTCACCTGTCCAGGAAGTGTCGGAGCAGACCCCAGAAACCAGCCCTGACAAAGAGGAAGCAAACCCTCCCAAAAAATCCCAGAACACGTGGCAGCTGGACAACCAGGGCAAACGGCAACATCTGGGGAGAGCCAATGGCAGTGCCACCACTCAGCGGTCGCTCCTGTACCCCCTCCACCGGAGTGGGAGCATGGAAGACAACTACCGAACGAACTTCTTGTTTGGTCTCTCCACCAGCCAGCAGCATTTGGCAAAGTCTGCTGCTGGGCTGGGCCTCAAAGGCTGGCACTCGGACATCTTGGCTCCTCAGACATCGGCTACATCCCTGACCAACAGCTGGTATTTTGCAGCCGAGTCCTCACATTTCTACTCTGCCTCAGCCATCTACGGGAACAGCGCCGCTTACTCTGCCTACAGCTGCAGCCAGCTGCCCACGGGCTGCGAGCAGGCCTGCGCTGTGCGCAGGAGGGCAAAGCAGGGGGACCGAGGGGACTCCAGGAGGAGCTGGCACGAGGAAAGCTCTTTTGAAAAGCAGTTTAAGCGCAGAAGCTGCCAGATGGAGTTTGGGGAGAGCATCATGTCAGACAATAGGTCCAGAGAAGAACTGGGGAAAGTAGGCAGTCAGTCAAGCTTTTCAGGCAGCATGGAAATCATTGAAGTGTCCTGAGGGGCAGCAGGCTTGTGTGACTGTATCAGAGTTGCTTCCCTCTCCAGGCTGCTCCCCCAGCATTTGAGAGATCCCTGTAAATCTGAAACTGTGTGTAAAAAGGTGGGGGGAGGGAAGAACCTTGAGGCTTCAGTGTGAATGCAGCAAAAGGTTAGTGCCGCAAAGAAATGACGGGCAAGCGTCTGCCCGAGGACACCAGATGTACCGCTGGATTTTTCTCCTCTCCTCTCCTGAAGAAGGGCAGAACACTTCAAAGGTCTTTCCCTGATAGAGGAAGCAATTGTATGCAATGGATTGCACAGCATTTCAGTGGGTTTTATAAAGGAATCTCTCTTGGCATCAACCTTGCTCTGGTTCCACTGAAACACGTTCCTACCTGTCAAAACTAGTTTTGTTCTCCCCTCCTCATGCCCCATATGTTCACCAGTGCACCTTAGCCCTGACACTGAGCCAACCTCTGGAGGGAGACCTTTTTTCTGTAAGAAAGGAGGCTGGGAGCAATTCCAAGGGACATAGGGACTGGTTACAGCAAAGCTTGTCTGAACACACATTTCAGACAAATGTAAATACTGGTGTAACTATTGTTCTAATGGATAGGCTTTAAGTGATTTGCTAGAGAGCTGCTTCAGAGAAAAAAAAACAGTACCTCAAAAAATATAAAAAACAAACTAGGGCTTTATGGCTGCCACATGCTGGTAGTCAGTTCATCAGCAATGTGAACAAGTAACAACTAGCCACATTTGATTTTTTTTTTTTTAAAGCTGTCTACGCACAAGTGTTTCAATTGGTTCAGCAGCAATGCCTAAAAGAAGATGAAAGAACCATACTTAGGACTGTTTCCCCCAGTCTTTTGATACAGTATTCGTATTTTTTATATTAAGCTGGCTTCTGGGAGAGGGGTAGTTGCTTTGGCTTCTAAACTGTAATGGAGTGGTTGATAGGTAGGGTTACATGCAAGAGAAGTGGCTGCTACAAGTGGCCACAACATGCTTTTCTTGACAGTTAATAATTCAATAGGAGGCTCTTGAAGGCTTTTTTGGTTTGGGGTTTTTGTTTTGTTTTTGTTTTGTTTTGTTTGGGGGTTTTTTGTGGTTTTTAAGATAAAAATGGGGTAGGCTTTTATCCTTAACTGACCAGTACCACTGAGGAACTGCTCTTCATTTATGGTCCCAGTCCTACATGGGGTGAGGGCAATGCAGGTAGTTGGGTTTTATTCCACTCCAACATGGATTGAGACTGGCTTCTCATTAGTTTTGCTGACTTCATCAGATAAAGGGAAGTCTGGCTGGCTGCCCAAGGAAAACAGAAGGGGGCTCCAGTGTCCCATCTCACAGTGTGTGTGAAGGAAAGGGGGTTTGAGAAGGGACAGCTTTCCATTAAGGGAAGCCACTCCCCTCCCACACTCACAGCTTCAGAGGAACTCGATCCTGGCCATTGTTCTCTGTCCCAGTGTAGGGTCTTGGTTTCCCAGCATGCTGATGTGTGATTTGTCTGCAGACGCTCAACGCTGTACCATGTCCTCCCTCATCACTCCAGAGAAGATGCCAATGTGAGGAGGTGCCACATCCCTGCTGCCAAGGGGGTGTTTCACTGAAGATTAGGCACAGCCCTTCTCATGTTTTTGACAGCAACCCAGCTGCTTCCCCTCCAGCTCCCATTCCTGCGGTAGCTGGGCTGCCCTGTTCACCTTGGTTCACGTGCCCACGCGGCTGCAAGAGATTTGTGGTCAGTGAGGGGTGGTACCAGAGGCACTGTGTAAAGCTTCATCCTTCATGCTCTGAGGGAAGCTGCACATGTCTTAACCTCGGTCTTTCCCAGCTTCCCCTCAGAAAATGTGTATTGAGGGGAAACTATATTTTTTTTGTCCCATTTCAGTTTAGGCAGCTGAAAATTGTACATCACATGTAACAAACACTTAAACCCTGGCCAACAGCTTTAAAAAAAAATTTGTCAGCAGCAACCTGAAGCCCTAATTCAAGTGAGCAGCTTGGGTTATTTTAGGGTTTTTTTTACTGTAAGTTTAGCTAGTTTGTGACTCAAATCTCAGGTTTTACTATATTGAAAAGTGGAGAAGATTTTGTCATTGATATGTTTTGTGGCTAGGATGTGACTTTAATTTCCTACAGTGGACTGTTGAAAATAGCACTGAAAGCTACAGCACTGATTAACTTGATCCTAAAAAGTGCAAAAGGCACAGGGAGAGACAGTACCAGGAGACTCTGTTTGGGCTGTGTGTACGAGATATTGGAAGAAGAGGTAGCCCAGGCAAGGGACAGGTTGACATCACACATATCAGGTGTTCATTAAACATACTGGCACTTGACTCTGTTTATGTATCAGGTGAAAACAATTACATTACAACTCTTTTCAGCATATATATACACATACTCTGTGTGTATATACCTATGTAAACAGTTTAACAGTGCTTCCTCCAGGAAAAGCCCATGTCTGTGATTTAAACCAGTTAATGGGGGTTAACACATATCAATCCCTGAAGACAGAAACAGATTCTTCCTATCTTTTGTGCTCCTTCAGACATGTGTTCCCCCTTCTCTATGTTTGGGTTTTGGGTCTTCTGCTGTGTTTGTGGTTTGTTTGCTTGATTGCCCTCTGAGGAACTGAAATGTGGTCTTGTGGCTCCTTGTGATTTCCAGTACACTCTAGTCCCTGAATGAATCAAAGCTGTAGGCTTGGTATTTTCAGGGGATAAGTCCCCATAGGAGGAAGCCTTAACCCCATGTCCCACACAGGGTGGTGCCCTGGCTCCTATCTGAACTAGAGTCCTGTCCCTGAACAATACTGGAAATGGTTTGTAGAAGTCTGGAAGGCAAAGTGGAGGATGTGAGAGGGGAAATGTGTACATGTTCAATATGAATATAATCTATGGCCATTGGTGTATGGCATACTTGGCATATTTGGTTTATGGCAAGCTATTAAAATTGTTCAGAGAGATGTGAGTTTCTCATCTTGTTGTGTCATGAGAATTACCTGTATGTATGATGAAATAAAATCAGAAATGGTACCTGTTTATATAGAAGGGCTGAGGAAGGAGTTGTGGAGTGTGCATTACCTGCCTGCAGTACAACCTGCTCCTGAGTAGGCAGGACGAGCAGGGGGCTTGTCCTTTATCATACATACCCTTCTCTGCAGCTGTGCCTGCTCATGAATTACATGGCTTGAGCAGCTTGTCACAAGCAGCCACGATTTTATAGCACCAGTAACCACTTAGGCCTCTTACCTGTTCCTGAATACCCCACCTCTTCTGCTCCCTTGAAGAGCAACAGTGGCACTTTTCTGCATTTAACACATTAACAATGTCTAATACAGTTGTGAGTAACCTGTTCCTCAGGCAGCTGTGTTAGTCTTGTTGAAGCAAGTATTTCAAATGGATTAAGTTACCTAGAATGATCCCCCTGGTTTGTTTGGGTTTTTTGCCTCCCATACTTCTTATTTGAAGATTAATGTAATTACTTGTTTAAATACTTGTTTTGACTGATTCTGTCAGTCTTGAAGCATGCAGAGCAAGTTCTGCTTGCTGAGATTGGAGAACGCCCCTCATTGCTGCTTCAGAGAATAGCTCATACAAACTACAATGTTTGTGTAACAGCATCTTCAAACTCAGGTGCAGTAGCAGAAGGTTTTTCTTTTCTTAAAAAGAGAATTTCAAAGCATAATCCCAGAGAGGGAAATGCAGAATTCTTAGCCTCCCTAAAAGAAACCAAACCATCAGCCAGAGCACAGGTAACAACCCATGTGAGTTTCTGTGCTTATTTTCTACAAACAAGATGTAGCAACTCTTACATAGAAACCTGCATCAGATAGAGTCCATCCATCACCACCTCAGACCTGCCCTGGCTTTGGGGACTGCTGGGTGAGCAGTTTTCCTTCACAGAATCAGAATCACAGAATACTGAGTTGGAAGGGACCCCCAAGGGGTGAATGGCTCATACAGGGATCAAACCCACAACTTTGTCATTATTAGCACCACTTTCTAACCAACAGAGCTAATCTCAGGGTTCCTGTGGATCAGGCTGTCCCGTGCAGGCTCACGTATTGAAGAAGTTAAAACCTAACTGTGGCAGCTAAAAGCAAGCCAACAGCCCCCACAGAAGGATCACAGACCAGCTGAAAGAGGCTAAACTTGTGCTAAAAGCAGAGTCTGACCCATTCAGTGAAGTGCAAGGAACTGGGAGGAGGAGATGAGCAGCCAGCAGGGCAGAGGCCAGCCTGGAAGTCAGCCTGTCCAAGGATGCCCAGCTCCAGCTCCTTCTGTGATCTGGTGAAGAACTGATATAAAGCATCTGTCAGGACATGGTCTCTATTTGACAGGAAGATAGGTGTGGGAGGAAAGAATGAAAGAAACAGGATGTACTCTGCTGCTCATGTTTAATCTTCCCACTCAGGCTTGGGAAAGCCGCTGGGTGCACACAAGGTGCAAGTGCCCTAACAAAACAGGCAGTGGTCTCACACTGCCAGTGCTCTGCACAGGGAAACTGCAGTCTTACACAAGTCTTGAGTCCTTGATCCCAGATCCTCATCACCTCCACGAGGTTGCCAGCACAGAAAAGGTAGGCAGCCAGCTGAACTACAGTCCCACCCCACTGCTGGTGAGTCCCAAGCATTGCTGCTCACATCATGTATTTAAACTGGACATCAGTGCCAACCAGAATTGGGGTGATACTGGAAGAAAACATTTATTTTCACTCGGGGATACGTTTCCTTACAGTCCCAGGGCAGAGGCAGCCCCAGGGCAAGTGAGACCAGCCATGTCCACAGCACGAAGGTGGGTTCTGGGTACAAAGCAAAGCTCAGCACTGTCTACATAGGTCACGGCAAGAAGTGGTGCACTGAAAATGAAGAATAAGCAAGGCAATTGGAGAAACAAAACACTTGGGAAAGAGCCACACCAAACGTTTTACTGCTGGAGCTGAGGAACATGTAAGCATGTAGGGAGCTGAACGGAGAGCAAATGTGCAAACAGGATAACCACTCATAAACCACGGAGCGCTCAGCCACAATGCTGGGAATCAAAATGCATGCTGGCAGCTTGGGAACAGCAGGGACAGTACAGTGGTACCTCAGGACACCACTGGCACACAGTCAGAGAGAGGGGCTGGCTCATACAGTGCATGGGCTTGAGAAAAACATGTATTTCTACTCTTTCTGTGTAAAAGCTTAGAGGAGGGAAAAAACACACTTTAAATATTTCAGTATACTTAATTTAAAATGCATTTACTTAAAAAAAAAAAACCTGAAAAGTCTTTTCTGTCCCCTTCACCAGATCTTCACAGAAATTGCCCTGCAGATAGGTTGGCACTTTAGCACCCTGTCAATGTATTCAATTACAAAACCAGAACAAAGCAAACCTCTTCTGCACGGGTAGCACACTGACCAGTGTGGGATGCAACAAACACCAGTGGCAGCACAAGGGGAGAGTTGCAACAGCAGTCAGGGGAAGGACCAAAGCAGTTCAGGTCAGCAGGGAACCACAGACTCAAAGACTCACTCTCCTCCCCAGCTTTTCAGAAGATTGCATATCAAGAAGCTTACCTTGTGCCCCAAACCACACACCACTTCAGAAAGCAGAAAAGGGCAGAAATGTCTGGTTTCAGTGGAGCACACCAGATTATTCTCTGTTCATAGCACTAAATTTGTGGTAGAAGTAACAGCTAGCACATTTGTGAAAGATACCTGAGGCCTCCTCCAAGAGCATTTGGCTTGGAAAAGGAAATTCATAAGCAGAAAGGTAATTTCAGTCACATCTCAAATCTGCTAAGCAGCATGGGAGTGAAGCGACTGTCTCACCCTGAGCATCACCTGCACCTGAAGCTGAAAGCAGCGTGTAGAGCAAAGGCAACAAGGAGCAGCCAAGCAACAAACAGCAGCTCAAGAAGATGTGGCATGAGGCGTCTTCCCCTCAGCAAGAGGGCCAAAGACTTACAGTTAATGAAGGCCATGACAATGTTTTAAATAAAGCTGTAAACCATTGCTTGAGAACAGTTAGAGGGTGCATGCTGTCTTACAGTACCCATACAGGTGACTATCCTGTGGAACGGAGGTGATGACGTATGAGCTTTAGAAGAGGTTCCCCTTCACATTTCAGCTCTGATTTCTTTCTAGTTAAGCTAGTAGGTCTTTCACAATCTGCCCTTGCTATGTGGAAAGCTCTACCTGTGAGGCCTAGCAGCACAGCCAGTGTTCCTAGGAATAAGCATTTTCTCTCATTCTCAGCCCAATGCCCAGGTGTTTTTCAGCAACTGAGGAAGGAACTGATTTGCAGCCCTCAGTCCTGCAGCCTTCAGATGGGAACAGTATTCATTTGCCCTCATTAGCACTGCATGGAGCAATGCTTTTATCTGATACTTAATGGTATGAGGCTAGATGTCTAGAAACCTTACACGAGAGAGCATCTTACAGGAGAGAACATCTCAAGGGCCCTGCCTTGAGATCCAGTATCAGGATCTTCCCACTAGCATAGGCTTCCAGCACACCAGGGTGTGGGATATTAAATGATCCCGTCTGGCAGACAGCTGAATGTTGCACATTTTAAACATCCAGACAGCATCATTTGGACAAACAGGACAAAAATTACTGCAGCTGCTATTTAAAGCAGTTCAATATTCTTGTGTGTCTGATGGCAGAAGGCAGGGACACATTCCATGATGGACAATGACGACTCGCCTGGGCATGGCCACGATAAGCAGGTTCTCATGGGTTAAGTCTCACACTGTAAGCTTTTAACAAACCAAGTGTAAAATAGGCAGGAAGCTTGAACAAGGATGTTGTATCCCATGCAACACACAGCATATGCCTACGTACGTATTACTGTGTAAAACCTCTGGGGTGGGAGCAGCAGGCAAGGAGGCCTACTCTGCTGCCTTTGCTAAAAAAATCTCCTGCTGAGTTCCTTGGCCTCTCTGAAGCAGTCAATTGCTCTTCCTAGGGCATCATTCTAGGGGGCTTAATTTCTATAGGACTCTGCTTTCAGACAGTGTTCAGCAGGCCCTGGGGTCCAACCACCACTGTGGTTCAGATACACATCAGTTTGCTGCAGTCTGCATCACAAAAATTCACTCTACACTACATGGCCTTTGGGAATGCAACAAGAGAACAGCCTGTTGCTTCTTGCCACCAGGCAATAATTAATATCATCAAAAACCTACTCCATTCTTATTTCCAAATGCTCAGAGACAACCTTTTGCTGATTAAATACTCTTAAGTACCAAGATGTATCAAAGCAAGTTGCCTTTGGCAAGTCACCTAGCCTTGTGCTGTACTGGAGGCTGGTTTGTCCCTGACTCTCAAAGAGGGCCGTCCTCACCACTGCAACTGCACTCCTGACATACAACCACCCTTGGGGTTCATGGGCACTTCAGCCTCCTCACCAGCAACAGCATCCTGGGTTCAACAAAACAGACACAAACCTACCCTGGCCCAGCAAATCAAGGGCTCCTCACTCCTGGTTACATTCTCTTTCTGCTGCAACAAGAGCTGCCATGCACTGGTGATGCAGGCTGTTAAACCCTATTTCTAGATCTATAAATATTTTTACAGCAGCATGTAAAATATCCCTGTCTTACACAGGGGGAAACCAAAGCTCAGAGAGGTGCTGCAAAGTGCCTGCAGCCAGCAGACCAGCAACAGACTTGGCAACTACCCTGTCTCCTGTGGGTCAGCCCAGCAGCTGGGCAGCATGGATATGCTGCCTGCCTTCCAGCAGTGCCCTTGGCTTCCTTGGGAGAAGGCAAGAACATCCTGTTGCCTTTGGAGCAGGTGGCTGAGAACAGTCCCCAAAAGGCCATGTGGTTTCAGTCATGAAACAGTGTGCTTAGGCCAGCTCTCAGCACAATGGCAGCTAAGCCAGTGCAAAGACCCAAAGGACTTCTTGTGTCTCTCCACTCCATACACCAGACGGTAAAGAAGCAAGTGCACCTCTCTGGTAGAAAAGACAGCACCGAGATAACTGGAGTGTCCCAATAAAAAAGACACATCATGTCCAACTTTGGGATGGAAAGTGAGCAGGTTGGTACCAGTGCCTGTCAGAAGAACATGAAATGCCACCAGCTGGGGCATGGGGACATTGCCAGGGCAAGGGGGAAAGGAACACTAAAGCTTGCTTAACATTAACTACATACATATCTAGAACAGTTATTCCTTTACAGGCTCATAAATTAGTGAGTCCATACAAACAGGAGCCTCGAGGACATGCCAAAACCCTGCAATGCAAACCATGTTAATTATGATAATAGGCAGATTTTAATAAGCCAGTTCCTGGCTCTTACATTTTCACCTATAAAACACACATATTTCCAAGGCCAGGGGATGTCAGAAATACCTTCCAGCCATCTGATCATCTAAACCCCAGTGGCACAAAAATCATGTCAGAAGGTTCGTCACACCCTGTATCCCTTTGAATATTTTTAGTAAAAAACAAAAATTCAGATGAAAGAAAATTCCTCCTCTGTAAACCCCAACAGCAATGAAACAAATGTCTCTGCACAGGCGGTGGTAGTGGTAAAGGAGACAGGAGGCCAAGAGAAGGGAGATGAAAGAAATGTAAATCATCTTCTCCAGACGACAGGACAGGGGAGCTCCTGGATTCCTGGCTGTGCAGTTCTGGCAGTTGATGCCGTTCTTCCTCCGATGCCCTGGCAGAGTCAGGCAGCACTGTCGTCTGCTTCAAACATCTGCCAGTCCAGCCTGTTGGAAGTGTGTCTGTGCTGAACACTGGAGCATGGAAGATGAGGAGGGGCAGCCTGCCGGGTCAGCTAGGACTTCAGCTCCCGGTCAGGTTTCATGCTGAAGGGCTCCAGCCTCTCGCTCTCTGGCAGCATGCTGTTCAGCCGCTCCATCAGCGGGATCGTCTGGTCGATGCCCATCTGGATACGGCGAAGGATGGCAGACATCTCATTGACCTTCTGGATCTGCTCCGCATACTTGGCATACTTCTTCTGGCGCTCCTGCATGAAGCTGTAAAGAGTTTCCACAGAGAGGTCCATCTGTTTAAAAACAAGTAGAGCAAGGCACATTAGACCAACTGTTGCTGGAGACGTTTCAGCACTCTGTCTTTCCTAAAAGCAACCAAGAACCACCTTAGATGCCCCACTGGAGATACCAGACAGGTAGAAAAGAGCTCCTCGGAAGGTACATAACCAGTTTGTCACTAAATGGGGTTCATAGTTGTACACCGGGGTGACATATGACAACCTCAGTTCTACACCCAAATACCTAATCAGAAGATTCTTTATTTGCAGGACTGAAAGCCAGCAGGCACTGCCAGGGATTTCCCAATAAACCAATATACATATCCTCCAAGTTACACAAACTCAGGGAACGCATGGCCTCTGCCTACACCTGTAGTATATTTTCACTGGAGATTGTTCATTTGCAAGCATTAAGCTCTGCCATACTTGCCAGTGCTAATTTTCCTTAGTTGCAGAGTAACCTGGCTAAACCAAACCACAGTTGTTACTACCATTGTCATCTGGAAAACTCCTGCCTTGAGAACCACAATGGATTGCTACTGTCCCTAATTTCCCTGAAACCCAAAAATAAGGAGTGTTATGAGTGACCCCCAGAGAGACATTAAGTAAATTAGTCATGCAATTAAACACAGTCAGTACCCAAACATGGCTCAAGCATGATGACAATGACAGGAACTGCTGTGCTGTTCCTGCCACTGAGTGATGAAGGCAGCCTTTATAATTCACAGTCCAATCTTCTCTTCAGCCAGACCTGCAAACCCCAGGCAGAATTCAGTCAGTAGCTTCCGAGTCAGACGGTTTAAGCTGTTTTACACATTGTAAGACACGCCACATGTTCAAAGAGTTTGGTAACAGGTCTGCTCCGAGCCCTCAAGCCCGTATCTCACTGTAGCTGCACTCAACAATCCCGGTCATTCCAGCGCACAGGCTCTTCGGCTCTTCCGACTCTGAAGACATTTTGTGGAAAGCAGTCCCTCACTTGGGACACAGCACATGCCCACAGGGGCTGCTGAGTGAAGGACAGAGACAGACACACACTGACCAGTTTTAGCCCACTGCCACCTCTTACCACTGTTTTTTCCAAATCTCTCCCATCTAATCACTCCCAGAGGAAGGAAGTCACTGCTCATGATGAAGCAGCCTCAGGGAATTGGTGCTGGGAACTCCTGGTCTACTAAGAAGCACAGGTTGAAACCACATCCCTCACACTTTAACTGTGTGACAGAGTCAACCCATTTGTCAGAGAACAGTGACTGTACCTGTCACCGGAGACAACACAAATTTATCAGTGCGGTGCTAAAAAACACACCGTGCTAACCTGATCTGACTTACACAGTACTTAATCAGCAACTGTAATCCTGACCCAGTATCCAGTGGCGCAGGTTTGTAGGGGAAAGCCTTCAGCAGGGGGAGGAGTGGGTGGAAATGGTGCAAAGCGGGAAGGTGCATCCCTCACCAAGGACGGAGGTCCCACCAGGGAGCACTGCCGTCCCACTGGCAGCAGCAGGGTTTGGCACTGGGGGAACAACTGGTGTAGCTATATCTGCTGACAAACGTCCCTTTCAAGCCCAGGGAAGAGGTCAAGTCAGAAATAGTCAAGAAAATACTGAAAACCTAAGTTACCTTAGGTTTTTTGTAACTTAACTTACTTACAAACAGCATTTAAAACAAACACACAAGTTTCCACTGAACTTGTCATGGGGATTAGCACACATTTTTTCCTCTATCACCTCCATCAGAGCTGGATACTCTTTAATTTCATCTGTACTTTCTACTGCTTTTAGGCTGAATTCTTTTTCTTTGCCTCTGTGCCTCCCTCCACACTTTCACGCACGGGAGAAAATAAAACCAGCAGAGCAGGAAACTCCAAATAGAGTGGAAACAATTTAAGCCTACACAGGGGTTTCTATTAAAACCCCAGCTCAATAATTTAGTAGCTTGGCGCTAGCTCTGTAAATTGGAGTGTGTAAAAAGCAGACCACCACCAACCTGTAAGTTAAATCCAGTGCCTAAAAACATCCTACCTAATGAGACAGTGGCCTGGAGTGGCAGCCAGTCGGAAACCTGCCAAAAGCCAGCATGCCTCATTAAACTGAGCAGTGTGGGGACCCAGGCAGAAACCTCCTCTAGTTCTGAACTTCTCATCCACAGGCAGGCTCTCCATGCGGCCTCACAGCACTGCATAAGAGGCAAAGCTTGCACCTACCAAGCTTTTAAACAAAAAACACCAAAGGCCCCTTTTTTTCTCCATTCCAATAACTTCCATCTGCTGACTTTTTAGGCTCCTTTTGTAAATACGTGTAACGTCCACTTACGGGTGAGGAACGCAGGAAGAAGCTGGAGCTGACCTGCAATAGGAAAGAGAAATGTGGAGTGGCTTCCAAGCTCTTTGCTACCTTTGGACACGTTCACAATGGCCGTAAAAAAAAAGCTGCCTCACACAAAAGGAGAAAGGGTGGAAGTGAGTGTTTCCTACAGTTCCCCTACACCTAGCATTCGGGTTTGCCTGCTGAGGGAGCCACGACAGCTGCACAGCCAGCGACACAACAGGGAGGACTGAAGCTGAGTAATTGTGAGGAAAGGTCAATTTTTACTCAGACTGAGCCTGGTATTTTTAACTATTAAAAAAAAAAAGGCAACTACACGTTAATTCCTGTAGATAAATGCCAATGTCTCTTTGCAGCTTTCCTTGAAGCAGGTCTAAGTACACACATCCTTCCTGCCTCCTCCCCCTCCAAGCAAGCTCCTCTAATCCCAGTCCTTGTGCTTTTACCTTTCCTGGCATGCAGTCCCATTCCTCTCACACTCAGACAGGTCCTTCATACTCTGAGGGTCAGCCCTATTTACCCACCACAGAGACTAAAACTAGCCTTTGGTAATCCATAATGAGCAGGGAGCATGCATAACAATCCACTTAATTCCAATCTATTTAATTTCATACAGTACCAATAAAAGCATCTGGAGAAGGGGAGCTGAGGGGGAGTCTGCTCCCCTGCCTACAGCCAAGGCAGTCCATGCTTTTCAAGATACCCTTGAGGGTCAATGAGTGAATCTGCCTTCTCTGAACAGCTCCCATCAACTCCCACCTCCCTGACATGAAGCCCTGCCAAATTCACCTCTGCAAAATGTTCAAGTCTCAGCCTTCTTGTCCATCCCTATCTGTGAAGCTCTCTGGGAAGGCCCAGCAAGACACTCCAGAGCTAGCTGCTCTTCCAGTACCCTACAACCATCTGAGAGTGTTTATTTGAGCCATTGTTCCTGCTCTGTTTGCTTCAAGCCTCCTATACAGCAGGCCACCAAGTTGCAGATAACTTCCCATCAGCTGGCCACTACTCTGAAGCCAGAAGATATGAGAGATGTGAAGCAGCACTGTCACCAGCCCCTTGACAACCTCACCATCAAGGCTTCATCATCACCCATCTGTCCTTCAAACATATTCACTGAGTAAGCTACAATCATCCCCAACTGAGAGGTACAGAAGAGTTTAGAGAGTTTAAAGGCTGGACCTGAAGCCTGTAAAGAAGCAACAGAACAAAGCAGAGGGCACAGCCCAGCATGTGAGGTCAGAGTCTTAATTCTCATCAAAACAAGAAGTTCTGCCCAATCTGGACTTGAGAAAAAAAGATGGGTTCTCAGTGAAAGGGTGAGAGTTCCTAATGAATATTTTATTTCTTTCCAAAAATCATTCTTCCTGTTAAAGCCACAAACCTGAGGCTGGACATGCCCAGAGTAGAAGACAGGATTTTTCTTCCCTTCCTGTGTTGAAAAGCATGTTTCTTCATGTTTTTCTTTCAGAAGTACAGTATATATATATAGTATATATATACACTTCTATAGTATATATAGATATACTACATATATATATACATACACTATAGTATATATATACTTCTTTCAGAAGTATATAAAAATGAACAAGCCTAAAACTCACCTTCCAGCATGACATGATTTTTTAGTACAGCCAGTGATATTCACAATTTGTGCCTTTTTCTGTTTCAAAGCTCATGCCTCTTCTGTGGCTCAGCAGCAGCGGGACACTAATTCATGCCTCAGTTTCACATTTTAAACATGAAATGACATCTACAGGGCTTTTCTTTCTTCAAATAAAAACAGATTAATAATTACTTCCAACAACAGGGCAAGATGGATATTTCCCCACTTAAATGGGCCCCAGCACAGCCTCTCCTGCTACACCATTCACACTGTCAACCCATAAGAGTCTCCTCTGCATTACACAGGCCCATTTGTAACACCACACTGGTGAAACACAAAAACAACTGAGGATACTGTCAGACATCTTGCACACCATAAATTCTTGCATTCATTTAAAAATTTTTCTTGGCCCACACTGCCAAGCAGAATAAAGACATTAATTTAGCCCACAAAAAGATTGAGGTCAGCACTGGCCACTGCCCAATTCTTTTCAAGAGACCACACTGAAAGCAAACCAGTGCCCATATATATACATCTCTTACCTGGCATGGGTTTATAACACCTCTGCCATGGGCATATGAGTGTCCTGAGGTCTTGGAAACAGTGGTCACATCTTGTTAGTTCAATGACTGAGAATGAAAATTGCAGCTAGACACATTTTCCCTGGGTGCAGAATATGGTTGCAGAAGTTCATTAAACTTGGAATCAAATTTCTAGAGAGGCACTGCTGACATACATAACAAACCAAATACATCTGAGGATGCTTGGACATTCTCAGCTTCTCCACTCCCTCCTAAAATGCCAATAAGGCAAGATGATGGGTTTTTTTTTCCCCCCACACTCAGCAACAGCCTTCAAGAGCTCAAGCAGACATCCATTTGTCCTGTGTCCTTCTGTCCTAACAATTTGCTCTCATCTCCCATTCCCTATGGCTGCTGTTCAAAAATACACAGCTATTAGAGTGCAATCCTCATTCCAGAAAGTTCATTTGCTGGAACAGCACTCGGAGCACAAACAGCCTTTCGTTCACATTGTCAGGTGCTTGACTGGGGTTAAATGAACTCCTTCCTGCAGCTGCACAA